CAATCGAAGAGAGATACAACACTATGGTCACTCACCTAGTCCCAATGACCAAGAGGTCGAGATGGGGACTAGGGAGCGGCCTAGGGGGGGTCCTTATATACTAGAGGGGCTGCTTAGCAACCAAGGACAAGGCGCGAGAGCGAGGCAGTGAAGATGACAAAGGGGGAACAAAGGGCGAGAAAGAAAAGGCAAGGGCATGGCGATCACGGGAACGTAGCATGCGGCTGTGGGAACGTATCTACAGTGTCCAAACTGGGATGAGCTAGGAAAGGAAACGGTCCGGAAATGGAAGGTGGGCGTCAAAGGAAAGGGAATGGGCGGCAAAAAGGGGCGTCTGTCCAACGTCCGTGACACACGTAATTGAGGGTGAAACCCTAACCCTGGGTTGGCAATCCCGTGACAGACTGCGACACGACTCAAACATGATGTCGGCCGACCATAAGCTAGGTCGGCTGAGACGTCCTGACTGCAATGTGCCACTTAGTCTCGTTCCCATCCGTTCTAGCGCTTACTGTCAGTACCGCTAGAACGTCTGGTGCATTTCGGGCTCGGCAGAGGGCATTGTGACGATCAGTCACACCACGTGGGCTGACTAATCCCACGTGAGGGCTCGCCGCACCATGTCGCTCGTATGTGCGTCGCGACCAAAAACCGGATGCGCTACCTACACCAATGTCTCTTACTGTGCTTGTCCTTTTAATCATCATGCTAAACACACTTGTTTAATCTATCTATCGCGGCAAAACCATGCCATCTGCGTCTGAACTCGAGACGCGCTCGGCTCGCCACCATGCTGCTCATCAGAAGTCTTACGCACTCCTCGAAGCCGCACGCGCAGACGCCAAGAAGACACGCAAGTACGACTCCGCACAAGCCCGACACACCATGTTGGAGAAGTGTAAAGAGAAGACAGGACTCACACCGTACAAGGAGCAGCTGGACTTGGGAGAGTGCATGCTATTGGGGCTCGATGCAACTTGCATTGCTGGGACGGGCTGGGGCAAGACACTACCATTTGTGCTTCCCTTGTTTGTTTGTCCACGTAAAATCGTTCTTATTATATCCCCTCTTAATGTACTGGAGGCCGATCAAGTGAGAAGAATAAGAAATTATGCGAGATTTATGGGCGCTCTAACACGGTAATTGTAGGCCGACCGTCTTCAGAAGATGGGCTTCAGGGCTATTGCACTGAATGGGACAACATATAATGCAGATGTTGAGAAAGTGAGTTTGAGTTCAAATTTCACATCCACTGCACCCTGTTTCTCATCGTCAGGAAAACGTCACGGACTTGTACAGGTACTTGGGGTACTTGGCCAAGTACCTCAAGTATCCCAAGTACCTCAAGTACCCCAAGTCCAATGGACTTGGCCAAGTCGGGTTGTTACCGTTGGTACGCCCCACCCCCTATCTTTTCGTTATTGGACTACTCCTTCTCGTCGCCCTCGTGTACACTCCACTCCCCTTCCCGTCTCCGGCGACCTATGCTTACCTTCCCGTTCCCTCGTCGTCCGCCTGTACACTATCATCCCCCGTTCCGCCCCCTGACGACTATGTTCCTAGCCCCGGTCCTCTCCCTCAATATCTCCCCTTTCGTCTATATGACCGGACCCTGAGTCCGACCCTGACCGTTTCCCTTTTCGGTTACATTACTTTACCCTGACCCAGACCCCGACCCTTGTCGCGCCCCTTTCCCTTTTCGGTTATATTGCCCGACCCTGACCTAGACTCAGGACCCTGTCCCGTCTCTATCCCTTTTCGGTTATATCACAGGACCCTGGCCTAGGTCTTGTACTATACGGGGCCCAGCCTCGACCAGACGCGTTCCTTTACAGTCTCCTCATACCTCCTCACTTTGGTCGGTTACCTTTCCCTTCCTAATACGGTCGGTACCCCATAGTATATAAGGAGGCCTGTAGTCGGTAGAGGCTCCCCACTTCTGTTCT